TAATAATAATAATAATAATAATAATAATAATAATAATAATATTGATAATAATAAAAAATAAATTGACTGTTGTATAAATTATTGTGCAGCTGGCATAGCAGCAGGTAAAAAGCAAACAGAGAGGACAGGACAGTCCCTTCGTTTTCCTTTCGACACAGCCATGGATTCCTCTTCCTAACTCGTTCACACACGTAATGTACATGGGGGATCGATAAAAATGATCAGAAACCTCTTACCAGTCCCGTTTCGACGAGAGAGAGCATCATCTCATTACCCAAAAAAAAAACATCCCTCGTAAAAAAAAAGAAAAAAAAAGAAAAAAGAAAAAAGGATTTCCCTCGGAACCACCTCCTCATATTCCCATAGAGCCGCAGATGATCCCATTTTTTCTTTCATCTTTTTTCTCCTCCTGTTTTTTTTCACAACTTTTTTTTTTCGTCGTCCTTTTTTTTCCTGCTGCTTTTTTTTTTTTTTTTTTTTTTCGAAGCCACAGTTGTTGCTCGTACACGATAAAACTTTTCCTTGAAGATAAATCCCATTTCCATGTGCCATGTACTATCTTATGTATCCCATCGTACCTACCTTATCATTCTCTCTCCCCGTGGCGATAAATCTCTCTTCTCTGTTTGTCTATATCCTTGATGGATTCTCCCGCCTTCCCCTATACCCCCATCCACCATGGATCATCCTTGGTCCAAAGTTATAAACATAGCCATCTACCCCATGTGCAATGTACAGGATTCTTTTTTGTGTATTCTTCTGTTTTGTTTTCTTCTTTGTTTCTTTCTTCTTTTTTGTGTCTTCTTCTTTGTTTCTTTCTTCTTTTGCTCTTCCTTTTTGCTTTCCTTTGTTTCTATCTTTTACCTTTCGACATAGCCATGGATTCCCCTAACGCAGTCACATTTTTATCGATCCCCGATGTTGGTAATCTTCTTCTTCTTTTTTTTTTTTTTTTTTTTTTTTTTTTTTTTTTTTTCCCCCTTTTTTTTTTTTTTTTTTTTTTTTTTTTTTTTTTTTTTTTTTTTTTTTGTGAATAAAACTCCCTTCCAGTGCTAGCGGTGCTGGTAATCTTGATATACCATATACCAATGACCATGGATTCCCCCATCGTTAACCTCCATCCACCATACCCATGGATTCCCCCATTTGTTAACCTCCATCCACCATAACCATAACCATGGATTTCC